AGGGAGATTATCCTCGTTCCTTGAGATGGGATGTGCACCCCCTTGGGGATGTTCTATTTTTTGAGTAGGGAGATTATCCTCGTTCCTTGAGATCGGATGTGCACCCCCTTGGGGATGTTCTATTTTTTGAGTAGGGAGATTATCCTCGTTCTTTGAGATCGGATGTGCACCCCCTTGGGGATGTTCTATTTTTTGAGTAGGGAGATTATCCTCGTTCCTTGAGATGGGATGTGAACCCACTTAGGGTTGAAAGGTAAGGGTGATGCCCAACCTTAGGATGGGGATAACTGCCCACTGTAGGATGAGGCGTTCGAGACCTATGGTGTGAGGTGGATGCGCATGGTTGTGCCATTGGTTCGCGCGTGCGCGTCATACCATTTTTTCTGTTTTTGGAGTAGGGACGTGAAACACTTGATGGGATGTGAAACCCCTTGGGGTTGAAAAGTAAGTGGATGTACCACCCTTGAGATGTGATGCCCAACTTTAGGATGGGATAGCCCCCCATTTAGGATGAGGCGATCACGAACCACTGGGGTGAGATGCCCCACCTTGGCGATATATGGTGCCACTGATTCAGTGGCAGCACGAGTTGAATCTTCCGTGATCATACGCTGAAGGTCTTCTTTGGTTATCTGAACCGTTCGAGAAGTAAGTAGAAATTGATCATGTTGAGGACCCAGTGGGGCCTCACGAGGAGGAGCGTTGGCTCCTGCTATGACGAATGAAATGTTTTGGGGGCGATGTGACCCCCAGGGAGTCGATAACCCTTGGCGAACGAAATATTTTGGGAGCAGATGTTAAGCCCCCAGGGAGTCGATAACCCTTGGCGAACGAAATATTTTGGGGGCGATGTAAGCCCCCAGGGAGTCGATAACCCTTGGCGAGCGAAATATTTTGGGGGCAGATGTAAGCCCCTAGGGAGTCGATAACCCTTGGCGAGTGAAATATTTTGGGGGCATATGTAAGCCCCCAGGGAGTCGACGGCGGAGGTGCCATAGGTGGCTCCACATGTGGAGCAGGTGCTGGTATCGCGTTGGGAGCATTTGCTCCCCTCGTGGCGATATATTGGGTCACGGCCTCTATGGCAGCGCGAGTTGAAGTTTCTGCTATCATGCGTTGAAGCGCATCCTCGGTTATTTGAACCATTCGAGGAGCAGGGAGCGGTGGATCGGCGAGTGGTTGGTCCCCAAGGGGGATCACCTGAACCTCGCGAGGCGGATCCATGGGATGTGGAGGAGGTGGCAAGCCAGAGCCTCCACGAGGTGGGAGGTCATTTGCTGTGTCCTTTTCTCTCCGAGCAGACGCCTCAGGAGGATCTTGTTGGCTACGTGATCCGTTGGCATCGTTCCCACAGACGGCACCAAAATGATGAGGCTAAAATATAGCTCACCTAGGGTGGTGTAGAAAATGAACTGGGAGAGCAAAGCAGATCAGTAGCTTGACAACTTGATGATCCTGAGGTACCTGCGATCATAGAACACATGAACTAAGCCGGGGGTTGATCCGGCGGAAACCCCTCCGACGCTCAAGTCAGACGTGCTGATCATAGAAATAGTCCAGAGAATACGCGTTTTTGTATTGCTCAGCTAATAGGACGTACCTCAATAAAATGAGGAAAACCTCTATTTATATGCCGTTTATTGGGTTGGGTTTGCTTTGTTGGGCCCAAGCCTTACTTGAAGGCGTTTGGGCCTCGGTGATATTAGTCTTCGATATTGGACTCGTAGCCCAGTAGGTAAAGAAATTGTAGGCCCATTGGGTTGGCCCAATTAGGCATATCAGAGCCCTTTTGTTCTAGTTTAAAAATTTATCTTGTATTGACATGACAGCTCTATCTTTGAAACGGATAGGTATTTTTTTCTTTTTAAACGAGATTCGCAGCCAACTATAAAAGTTCACTGAATCGATAAACTTACGTAGAACAGCTTGCAAAGCATACAAAAAGACATAAATTACACTAGACTAATCGATAAACTCCATATAACGACTGTTGGCGAGAGAATTCGAACCTGAATCAATTGATATATGCTCACTTGTTCTAACTGTTACGCCATCCCTAAAATGGAACAACAGTGTTTGAGTAATTAAAATGTATGTTATAATATTGTTTAGTAGTTAGGACACTAATTCAACTTTAGCCTAATTAGTCCAAACTTAATATTAGTAGAGAAAGTAATTTGGTAGCAAGGTATAAAAAATCAAAAACTTCTACTGCATATTTATAATTATAACCTCTAAGAGCATCTCCCACTCTTAACACGATTTTTTCATCAAATTCTATTTTTTGGGTAAAAAATGGTGTTATCTCTCACCCGTAGCACGCTATTCTATAATTTCTTTATTTTTAGTGACAAAATAGTGTATTTGATCTCTCACCAATTCCATCAAATTTTACACCAAATAATAAAATATTAATATCTCTCCATTTTACCATTTATAGAGAATAGGATTTAGTTTGGTCTCCCATAGCATTTCACCAAATATATTACAAAATTATAATTTTAATGTTAATTGTAAATTTAGTCTATTTTATTACCAAAATATTGATTATGAATTTGATCTTAAACAATAATTTTATTAAGTATATAATTTAAAAATTATGATAAATATCAAAAATTTATTGAAACGTGAATGAAAATCGACTTAGATTATTATACATATAATAAAACCACGAATAAACAATAATTTCATTAATTATTTCCTAAAAACCTTACAACACAAATTAATCATAAAAATATCACAACATAAGTTAGTTATAAAAACGTTACAACATTTTTTTTGGCAAAAAATATTATTTCATTGATAACAGGGGCCTCGTTAAAACCTTGTTTGACCTAACAAGGAAAGAGTACCCCTTATAAGCAGATGAGTCTCATTCACCATTTTTATCGTTATCATCTTCAACATCATCTATTTGATCATGTTTATCCCACAAATATGCTATCAATCCTCTCCTTAGTTCAATAATAATAATAATAATAATAATAATAATAATAATAATAATAATAATAATAATAATAATAATAATAATAATAATAATAATAATAATAATAATGATGATAATAATAATAATAATAATAATAATAATAATATTATTATTATTTTAAATTTTGAAAACTAATTCACTAATTAACACTAATACATTTACTATAAATATATTTATAAGTTGGTAATCACATGAAATTAGTTAATATAAGAATTGTATATGCTAATTATAAAATGGTGTTAATTACACAAAATCCTATTTTCACTTCTATATTTGATAGAAAAAATAGGATTTGGTGAAAAAAAATGGTAAATGGTGGAAGGGTGGGAGATGAAAATTTCTTCACCAAAAAATTTGCTGAAAATATAGGATTTTAGGATATAGTGATATAGAATTTGACCAGGGTATGAGAATAAACTAAATCACTTTAATTTTAGGTGTAATGGTGATTTAGAGATTAAGTTGAGAAACTAAAAATACCTAAATTAGATTATAATTATAGAATTCGGTGATGAGTGAAGATGCTCTAAATAAATTATATTCCTCTTTAAACACTCACCTTCGCCAATTAGATGATACATGTATGTGGGTGGTTTGCAACATATATATTTATATTAATTTAATATCAATATTAATAATAATTTTGCTCTCTGCTTTATTGAGTATATATATAAAATATAATATATGTCCAATTCGGCGCCTATAAATCCAATTATTTCACTTTATTACAGGCACTGAAAATATTTAATATTATCACCAACATTTTATTATGTGAGTGTACATGAACCCCCATATTTTGGTTAAATGAATGAATTTGACATTCTCCAGAAAGCTCCATTTGGGGGACCCACACTCCTATGAAAAGTCAAGAAAAAGGCAATAAATATAAAGAAAAAAACACCAAAATAAAATAGAAAGAAAAACAAAGTAACCAAAAAAAATATATAAATTGATCTCAACAATTAAAAGAAAAAAAAATGAAACATAAATTCGTTTTTAGAGAAAATGAGAATACTTAGCCAAAATTAAAGAAACATGATTGATGGTGCAAAAATTTCACCCTCGAGACCTTCATTTGAAATCAACTCAATCGATCGTTGGGAAGCTCACATTAAACTCAATCGACCGGTCTTTAATTTACATCTATCAATCATCCGTCTTGATTTATACATTTTCCTTATTTGTTTATAGAAAATATATTCGAATTTTCATTATATAACGGCTGCTTTTGAGCTCGACAACTACTTTTTTTCCTATCTTTTGAGTTCAAGTATGCTGGTGGTCCCGACTCATCTCGGTCATCCTTCGCTGCGATTTCACTACAACACATATCGTCATTCATAGCGTTTCAGAAATGCTATTATAGGCTACCATAGCGTTTTTACAAACGCTATGTCTGCCGGAGCTATAATAGGTCCTAGTCTTATTATAGCGTTTTGCAAACGCTATAGTATGTTTTCCAAGTATAGCGTTTATTATATGCTATTGTATGGTTTTGAACAGCAGCAAAAACACGCTATTGTAAATTATGATAACATATTTTTCTCGCTATTATTGTTCTTCTACATCATTCTTGAAATGCTATTGCAGATTAAAGATAATCCTTTGTTATTGCAATTATTTTCTAATATAGCATTTCAATGTGCTATATTACTCTTTTAATGCTTGTCTCCATGTTTTGCTTTCAATAACTGTCAACTGAAATAAAATTATCAATCACATGAAACAGAAGTATATTAAAAATAAACATTTTTTATTAATATGGATCAAATTTATACAAAAAAACATAAAGTTGTCTACTTGAAGTCATACTACTACAATACACAGTAAATAAAATACATGCGATAGTATCACGAAAAAAACTCTAATGGATCTCAATGAATAACTTGCGACTACATGAAGCCATTTCATCTGAAATTCATTATTGTTCTACAATTCTGTTTTACAATTTTTGACCTGTTAAAAAAAGAAGAAAACATACGTTAGTAAGGAATAACAGTAGTAATATATTGGGAAAAAATTACAACAACTTTCTAAGTCGCACACGTCTGCTAGCCATGCCAGTTTAGTCTTGCCTATTTAATGTTTTACAAGCCTAATAATATATGATAGAAAGAACTTCACAACTTGTAAGAACATAGATAAGATAATGTATAAATTAACTGGAATCAAGGATTACAACAATCCAGCACCTCATGTATATTCATGGATTACTAAGTAAATTCAATCAAATTCTCATACTCATTAAACTAATCAAACAAGATCCTTTGAAAGTAAGAATTTTCAACTTCAATAATATAAAATATAAGGCATTGACATGTCTATCATTGTATATATAACCTTTAAGAAGTTCCTTAGTATCATTATACAATCTAAGAGATCAACCACATATTGTATAGATAAGAATCCAACTGTGGCCGTCTCACATCCAACTGCACCACCATATACATTTACAACATCTCAATAACTAGACAGATAGATTAAAATTATGAGTTATTTAGAATCACTATCAAATAAGGCGAATTCATGAAGGCATATATATACCAACTAACCTACTACTTCCATTCTAATGAAAGAAAAAAGTGTCTGACCTTATAAATAAAGAAGCAATATCAAATCAAGGATCATCAACATGCATTTGTGTTGCTCAATACCTGTTAAGAATTATGGTAAAGCGAAATAAATTGAAACCCAAGGTGTTCAATATCAATTAAATCTATAGAGCAAAAATAAAAATGCATTTTCTATCTTACAATATATAAAAGCAAATATAAACAATAATTTAACATGTGTGGAGAAATGAATAAAAATAGAACATAAACAAACTGAGCTACTAATGTAAAATTGGCACAAGATAAATTCATTAAAAAATCTTAATTTCAATCTTGTCTCACCAAGCACAAGCTTATAAGTATGTAAAGTCACTCAACTCAACGAAAAGTCTTCTTTCATTATCATCAAGGTCTTCTATACATATTTTAGTATTCAATACCAGTCTGGAGAAGAAATATGTGATAACCATACAATAATAATAAATTTAAAGGTATTCCAGTCACCCATTAATCATGTAGATACAAGAAAATATGTATTACAAAAATTATAAGATGTAAATCTCTTTTTCACACTACTATTGTTCTTACCCACAATTAAATTCCACACACGGAGTACACATTAACTAATGCTTATACGTTTCACCCCTATCCAACCCTGAACTGCACGAAACCGAAAGAAATAAATAAAAATGGATTAAACAATATAAATAAGTCTATGAATACATATTGCAACCTGAGAATAACAAACAATATATAAATACGATTAAACTATTTTAAAACTAGAATAACGAACAAGAATAGTTTAATGTAAAATTAAGGAGATAGAAAGTTTACAAATTGGGGAGTTTCTTGGAGGGTTGTGGAAGAAGAGTATGCAGTTGGACACATTAATTTTCTCCAAACAACTTCTACCTCGCTAACCTCCATCGATGATTCCTGATTTCTCTAGCAAAAAACTGATATTAGGGCATTTAGCACCGCAGACAAATTAAATAAATAAACGGAGAAACAGAGATTGGGAGACACTAACTATCCCTAGAACAGAGAGAAATGGCGAGATGGCACATCGACAAATCGACGCAAGGGAGACGAGGGTCTAGACCCTAGAAATAGCGGATTTTGTGGCGTCGATAGGAGAGATAGTTGCCGATTGATATTATAGGAAACGGCGAGAGGAATTGAATTATTTTTCCCAAAATATGTTATATTTTCACGGCCCACTAAATATTGAATATTACTATAGCGTTTTTTCTTTCCAATTGCTAATTATTGAAATTACCCAAAATGAGTAATAGCATTTATGGTAAAAGCGCTATAAAAATGTGCTATGAAAAATCAATTTCCTTGTAGTGTTTGACCCATAAGATGTAATGGGCACATCAATTATGGGCTTAACTTTTACTCTTCGTTAGGCCCTGGCCCGCTGACCTCGAATACGGGGAGCCCGGCCGATAAATGTCGAACCGATCGCCCCATCAATGATGAAAATTCTTGGAAGGAACATCATTAGTGGATGAAGAAGGAGACCAAAGGTGAAAAAAACTCTCTTTCATTTTCAAATGTCCCGCATTTGCCCCCGCTTGAGGGACACATAAAAAGGCAAAATTTCCCCCTACCCACTTGTCCTTGTAATATATCTATATATGTATCTATATATGTATATCCATTTATATCTATATATTATTGTAATTCAGGTAGGGAGGTGTCTAGTAAGTAGTAACTATAACTAATTTTCAAAGAGAAATGCAATTCTTGAATAATTAATTTATATACCATAACTATTAATTAACTAACCAGTGAATAGTGATTGATTAAGTACGTGCACCATGTGCCACTTTGTATATTTCCCTTTGTACAAGATGTGTTCACTACTCCAATTAATTAATTAATTAGGTAATCAATTAATTAATTAATTAGCTTCAGATTTCAGACATTCTGGTAAGTGCCTAAAGACCAGCTCATAAATAATTCAAGTGCAAAATTCAACTCATATTTATTTTAACAAAAACTTGATCTCATCTGATTTTTTTTTATTTTACCTACACCTTTCATCACCCATATTATATTACACACACACACACACACACACACACACACACACACACACACACACACACACACACACACACATATATATATATATATATATAAATATATAAAACTTTACCTGCATCTCAAGACAGAACTGTGAGTCTCAAATCTCAATACACTTATACACCAATATTTTCAATTGTAATATATATATAGAGATATATATAAATATAAATATATATAAAAAATGGCAGATCCAATGAAATTTGGCATGATTCCAAAGTAGTGTGAAGCTGGGGTATAAGTTTAATTGTTATATATAAGTCGGCCATTGTTACAATCTCAAACTCCACAAGCAAGATCCAATCGACACTTTCCTTATATATTCATTGATCGATCGTCGTCGTCTTCGTCGTTTAATTTCATCTATGGGGACCCTTTCTCGGTGCGATTCGAGGAACGGTTTTCAGTTCGTCGGCCACTTGTCCGATCCTAGATTCACCAACAACGTCGTCGTCAACATGCCCGGAATTCTGTCGCAGAATCAAGTCGTCGTCAACGACGAGGACGCGGCTGCTCCGGTGGAGTGCGACTACTTCAACGGCGTTTACGAATACCTACGGCAGATGCTTATGGAGGAAGACGACTTGGATCACCGCCCTTGCATGTTTCAAGATTGCTCCGCTCTCCAAGCCGCCGAGAAATACTTCCACGACGCCCTCAGTGACACCGCCAACTCGCCGCCGCCGCCGCCGCCGGTGCCGTTTTCTTTCTCCGTCAACAAACAAACTGGTGACGCTGATTCAATCTTATCCGCATCTGATTTTCCGTCGTGGACACTTTTCGAGTCGGACGTGGTCTCCGGCGCCGGCCAAAGTCTGTGGAACGCTACTACTGGCGGTCCGGCGGCGCCGGAGAGTCGGTTTCATCCGCTCCTGAATTCAGGGTTGGCGGTTAACGACGGCGGAGCATCTCTCTTTCAAGGCGGCGGGGAATCTTTTCAGAAACATGTTCAAGTATTTGCAGGGGAAGGAAGATCCGGCAAGGAGAAAACCCACCGGAGCGAATATTCCGGCGAAGATTCGCAGAGGAGCGGCAAGCAGCTGGCGAGCTACGAAGCAGAAGATCCGGCGGAGATTCAAAAGTACGACAAGTCGCTCCTCTGCCCGAAGATGAACCCGGAGTTCTACAACAAAACCCCACCCCGGGGCTCCGACGAGAAATCCGACAGCGACGAAGAAAGCAAGAAACAGTACCGCAAAACCAAGGAGGTCAAACGCGGCCGGCCGAAGGGGAGCAAGAAAAACCGCGCCGTAACAGAAGTCGTCGATCTCAGCAGCCTGTTGACCCGCTGCGCGGAGGCGGTATCCAACTTCAACCTCGCCGCCGGCGAAACCCTACTCAAGCAGATCCGCAGCCACTGCTCTCCCCACGGCGACGCAAACGAGAGGCTGGCCCACTGCTTCGCGAACGCCCTCGAAGCAAGAATGTCCGGCACCGGCGCCGCCCTCTACACCGCCTTCGCTTCTAGAAGAATCCAAGCTTCCGAGCTTCTCAAATCCTACCAGGCTTACGTCACCTCCTGCCCTTTCAAGAGGATGTCGAATATCTTCGCCAACAAGTCCATCGGAAAGTACACGAAAGACGCGGCGAAGATCCACATCGTCGATTTCGGTATCCTCTACGGCTTTCAGTGGCCCTGCATAATCCAAGGCCTTTCGTTGAGGCCCGGCGGTCCCCCCGTGCTGAGGATAACCGGCGTCGATTACCCTCAGCCGGGTTTCAAACCGGCCGAGCGAATCGAACAGACCGGGAGACGCCTCGTCAGCTACTGTAAGCGTTTCAACGTACCCTTTCTGTACAATGCGATAGCCAAGAAATGGGACGAGGTCACCGTGGAGGATCTAAAGATCGAAAAGGACGAAATGCTCGTCGTCAACTGCATGTACAGGCTGAGGCACGTGCCCGACGAGTCGTCGGTTGGGGTTGGGGGGGCGAACGCCCCCCCACCCCGCGACTCCGTGTTGAAGCTGATCAAGAGGATAAAGCCGGATCTCTTCGTGCACGGGGTTGTGAACGGGTCGTACAACGCCCCGTTCTTCGCGACACGTTTCAGGGAGGCGCTCTTCCACTACTCGTCGTTCTTCGATATGATGGAGGCGACCCTGCCGAGGGACGATCGGGATAGGATGCTCTACGAGAGGGAGGTGTTCGGGAGGGACGTGATGAACGTGGTTGCGTGCGAAGGGTCGGAGAGGATCGAAAGGCCCGAGACGTACAAGCAGTGGACGGTCAGGAATCAGAGGGCGGGGTTCGTGCAGATGCACCTATATCGGGAGATAGTTAAGGAGGTGAAGATTAAGATTAGGCAGGATTACCACACTGATTTCATGTTGGACGAAGACGGCGATTGGTTGCTACAAGGGTGGAAAGGCCGCGTTATGTACGCGCTTTCGTGTTGGAGGCCGAACTCGCAAGAATCGACCTAATCAAAGATGCTGCAAACACTTTTTTTTTTTTTTTTTTTGTTCATTTGAAATGAATAAAGTTTTGAGTCTTTTTTATCTGATTTTTGTTTTGCAACCAACTGAAATACTTCAAATACAACACTACAAAAAACAAGAGATTTGTCCTAAAAACAAGAAAATCAAGAATCATATCACTACTTGTGACTAGGTTTCCAGTAAGAGATGGCATGAACGACGCGGCCTTTCCAACCCTGCAGCATCCACTTGCCATCCTCATCGACCGAAAAGTCCTTGTGGTAGTTCTTCTTCACCTTACTCCTCACGTACTTGAGAATATCCCGATCGAGCGGCACTTGCTCGAAGCCCGCCCTCGCGCTCCGGACCCCCCACTGCTTGTAAGTCTCGGGCCGGTCGACCCTCTCGGTCCCCTCACACGCTATAATGTTCATCACGTCCTTCCCCAACACCTCCTCTTCGAACCTCATCCTATTCTGATCCTCCCTCGGGACCGTCGCGTCGAACATGTCGAACAACGACGAGTATTGGTAGAGGGCTTCCCTGAATCTCGTCGTGAAGAAGGGCGTGTTGTAGGTCCCGTTGACCACGCCGTGTATGAACAGGTCGGGGTTGACTTTCTTTATCAGTTCGAGAACGGTGTCCCTCGGGCTATTGACCATCACCGTCTCGTCGGGCACGTTGTGGAGCCGGTAGAGGGAATTCACGACCAGCAACTCGTTCCTCTCGATCTTGAGATCCTCAATTTTGATTGTGTCCCACTTCTGCGCGATTGCATTGTACTCGAACGGGACTTTAAACCGCTCGCAGTACTTTGCGAGCCTGCGGCCCGTATCTCCGACACGGGCGGCCGGACGGAGCCCTGGCTGGGGGAAATCGATCCCTGTGATCCGGAGCTTGGGGGGCCCGTCGGGCCGCTCGGACAGTGCGTGGATCAAGCAGGGCCACTGGAACCCGTACAGAATCCCAAAATCGATAATGTGGAGCGTCGTCGCCCCATCGGCGAGTTTCTTGATCGTTTTGTTGGCGTACAAATTCGACATCTTCCTGAAAGGGCAAGCCGTGATGTACGTCTTGTACGCCTTCAGAATCTCCGCCGCCGATATTCCGCGAGAGTAGAACGTCCCTCCGGTGCCGGCCAAGCGGGCCTCGAGGGCTCCGGCGAAATAGTGCGCGAGCCTTTCCGTTCCGTCGCCGTGCGGCGACGAATGCCGCTTTATCTGCGACAAAAGTTCCGTCGCCGTTCGGGTTTCGTTGCTGGCGACGGCCTGCGCGCACTGCGTCAGGAGGGTTCGATGGTCGACCGTTTCCTTGGCAGGAATCCCTTTCTTCTTATTCCCTCTACTCAACTGTTTCATCGACGGCTTCTTATCCTTCGACTCGAGCTCCAAGACGGAACAGAGCAACACCTTGTCGTACATCTCCAACGTCTCACTCTCGTCGCTAAATTTGTCGTCGGCCAACTGTTTGTTACTCCTCCGATCGTCCCCCGACAATCCATCGGTATCTTCTCGATAGCGGTTTTTCTTCACTCTCGAATAACTACTACTATCCGGTGGTGTTTCGTCGTCGTTGTTCGTGTTGAGGACATCGAATAACGATTTCTCGGTGGCTTGAAGAGCCAAGCAATCATGGAGCATGCATGGCTTGTTACCCAAGTCTTCTTCTTCCATAAGCATCTGGCTTATGAACTTTAGCATTGCATCCGAATGATCCTTCTCTTTGAAACCTTCCCCCTCCGACGAAGACGAGGAAGAATATTCCACCGGCGACGAAGATCCATTCGTGGGGACGGAATATTCCGCTGAAATTCCGTCGGACGGACAATTATAAGTAAAGACATGGTTTTCTTGAGACAAGTACATCGCCATGAAAAAGGAAATAGGAAGAAGTGAATTTGATTGGGAAGTGGGTTTAGAGATTTATGAAAGGGAAGCAATTTGGGTGACTTTTTTTTATAGGGAGACAAAGGAAGGAAGATACGAGGAAATAGAGACACTCTGTCTGCACAGTTGCTACACTACAATAAATCCAATCAGCGTCATCAGGTGGAGCCGGTCACAATTTTTGACTTTTTTTTTGGTTCATGAATGAATTCATGTTGACCAATAATCACAACATCACTGTCCTATACACATACACTCAGTCCAGGTTCATGAATTCAATTTAAGCCGTTAATCCAATTTTAACACCAATTTTGATCGTTACCGTCGAAACTAATCTTTTTTTTTTGTCGTCAAAATTGGATTTTGTTGATCAAAATTGATAAAAACTGGAGTTAAATTATGGTTTTACATTTAAGAATTGAGTTTTAAAAATTGTGATTAATTGTTCGAGACACCAGGAAGGGAATTGGAAACCAGTAACTATTCCCTTCTATAAAAGAAAAAGAAAAAAATATTTTATTATTTTATTATATTAATTAAGAAAAAAAAGGAGATAATGAGATGGACAAAATGATTGGAGCAACAGAAATTTGGTCAATGGGTAACCGGGAGTCGCCGGTAAAAGAGGTTGAGATACAAACAAACATATAAAGCGTAACGCCCAAGCTCCTAGTAGCAGCCTTGACTGGTCAACGCCACTTGGGATTGTGGGACACGATATTAACTCGCATAGGAATCCTCCTCGAAGTTCCCCTGTCTAAAGATGTCTCTTGTGGGTATTACTTTTTAGTCCCTAAACTTCACCTCAATTTAATTTTGTGCCACTAATATTTTGAGATATATCCAAATTTCACTCCCAATTTACCAATTTGTAGCACACTCAGCATCTAAGAACAGTTAGCATCTAGAATATAAATTATTTAATCCAGAAGAAGATCAACAAGTTTGGTTTTGACCATCAAAATCAAGAAATCGAAGAAATCGGATATGGGGAGGAGTCTTCAACAGTTAAATAAATAATAAAAGACTGGCTCGGTTTTTAGGACTTGGGTATAATTAAACCTGCCAAAAATTAGATATCTTGATCTTTTTAATAGATAGTTGTTTCCGGATCCACAAAAACCAATCGATACAACATAATTTAGCTACCACAGGGCAACAACCCTAAATGCCGATAAATAATCGGATAATTTAACAAATATTCGCAACTCAATAAAAATATCTTACTCAATCACTTACCTCTTTTTGCTCTGATACTTGGGAGGTCGAAGAACACTCCAATCCAGTTTTTCTCGTTTATTTCGTTTCTGGGGGCTACGGCTGCTAGTTTGAGGTGAATCTTGGTTTTCTTGATCATTTTTCCTCGATTTATTCGGATACCCTTCTTCTGAAAAAACTTGTGCTTGCTTCCTCTTAAGATCATCATTTGCATCTACTTCCAACTTATCCAACTTTTGAACGGACCCCCCATTTTCTCTGTTATAACCGAAAAATCGTATTTTTCAAAAAACTCTTTCCCCAAGAAAATGAAAATCATATAATTAAATAGTGAATTTATTCCAAACATACCGAATGGGTATTGCTTCGTTTTGTCTGCCAGAGCTTGTTGCGGCGGATTCAGTTTCACTTGAGTCAGATGCTACTTCATTGAGTTTCTGCCAAAACAAGCCTTTGAAGTGAGAAGACGGAAAGAAAATAAATAAATAAATAAACAAGAGTAAAATAAAATAAAATAAAATCAGCCAAACCTTCTTATACTCACATCAATAGACGGGTTAAAACTTAAAAACGACATGCGGCCTCTTGTCACGCCGGGATGAGGATCGCCTTCAACTACAACAACACTGCATGTGAAACAGAAACGGAAATTAAAATAAAGAAAAAAGATTCCCATAAGAGATGGTTAAAAACTTTATTACGATTATAACATCTATCAACTTAGATAGGAAAATGCTCATCTAAATAGAAGGATTAGAATACAAACATTGAAGTCACTTCCACGCAGATTGTATTTGAAGGTAAATTTTACACCCCTCTCCCATGAGATTAAATCTAAATATAACTAAATTCTCTTGAATTTGAAATCTTGATTTAGTAAAAGAATCGAACTCACACTCAAAAAATATATAGTTTATCCTAACCAAATATTTCGTTGGCTACTATTTTCTATCAGTAAACATTAGTAATTTCGTTATGCTTTTCCTTTACAAAGATATTGGTGAGCGAAACACTACTTACGAAGTTTCGATTGCGTTTTTCGCTAACATAAAATCCTAAAGGAGGCCAATCAGCAATCATACATAACTTCACCGGAGAATAATGTAACTTATCTAAAATTCCATCAATAATATTTGTACAAGGGTAAAAAGAGTTTCCAATAAGTCGATAAGTCAACGACCTAACTGTTGACATTAGATAATCATCTCAGGCCTCAAACCAACGGAACGGAACCTTTAAACATTTGATCTTTAAAGCGGGATAAACTGAATAGCAAAGGGTTATCCGTTGTGTTGCTTCGTTTTTTAATCCAAATACAAAATGAGTGAAGGTTCACTTTGGCCGAATTGTAGAAGTTTCCGAGTTAACAAAAGGCAAAAGTAAGCAGATGCAACAATTTTACATATTCTTGGATTAGAGGATTCTAACAAATCAAAATTTCATCAACATTGGGGAAAAAGGCAGATGCAATTGCTCGTCTTTTGGAGATCCACCGAACCTCGATAAATTCTACTTCGACTTTATTGTTAAAATAACAACATCTTTTAACATATTCATGAATACTAATAACATGAAAAATAAATTAAAAAAACAAAAAAATACCATCTTTTAACAGCAGCGGAGCGAGGAAAATCTCCAGCAGGCATAACCTCTTCTTCTTTCTCGGCTTTCTCATCTTTCTGAATTACCCTTTGCATAAACTGTATAAAATCAATAATAACAACATTAACCAATTGAGCAATTGTGTCCACAAAAAAAAACTATTTTATTTCCATGAATTAAAACAATAAAATTGAAAAATATCGACAAGCAAATTAATGATAACCGGAAGAAAAAAAAAAACTCATTAATTCCCAGGAAAACAGAAGGTGTTGTGTTAACCAAAACAAATTGGGGCATTTAAAAACTAATTAATTGATTTTACCTTCAAGTTCTTCAAAGTACTGGACAATTCTCGCTTCGCCATGGTCGAACCCAATTTTCTAATAATCAATCGAACCCCAATCGCCGATTTATCCTTCTCTTCCTCTTACTCTCTCCGGCGAGTTTAAAATAGCGGCAGAGTTTATGTGATTCAGCAAGGGTTTTGAAATCGAGGACAATCCGAGTCTTGATGATGACGAATATACCCCCAGTAGTACCACTTATGTATTATGTCGGTTTTTCACAATTATGTAAAAAGAGCAAATTCTATATATGTCTTTTTTTTTATCAGGAAAAACCCTCGAACTTCATCATCAAAATTTGTAAAATATTGCAAAAACGACGATTTTCATTTTAACTAGATGATGCGGGATATATGGCTAATCCGAGATAAATTTAGGATTATTAAAAGCTGATTTTAATTGGAAAGTTGATAGTATTTAAATCAAATAATATC